AGAATCTGAGAAAGTAAGCTTCAGAAAAGCATGTAATTTCTCTGTCGGTGAAGCTTTATCACGAGCACTGAGCTGGAAACTGGAAAAACAAACTAATTCCTGACTCTGCAAGTGACAAAATGGCCTTGAAGAAGTCAACCTATACCTCAGCTTGCTTACATGTAAAAAAATAAGATAATTCAACTATTCTAACTGCTATGAAGTGACAATGAAAATAAATATTTTTTCCTTCCTAGAGCTATGTTAGAACTTCAAAGTAGTGATTTCAATCAAGATGTGTTGATATGTTGTTCCTTGTGACTATAAATTTCCTCCATGCAAGACATTAAGTACAATCAAAGTAGTAAGAGACAGAGAGGTTTTGATTTCAATTCTCAGATTTGTTTTAAAATAGACCAATTCCGGTTTTGGTTGGAACACTCATTTGAATGTAAGATGATAAATATTTGAAACCAGTTTCTAAACTGGAAAACCAGAGGACAGATTTACAGATCAGAAGGGGACAAACTTGATGCTAGTTTGGGAACTTCAGGATAAAATAAAGAATGGGAGTTTCAGAGGTATTCTACTCTGCTCCTTTAATTTTGATAAATCATTAACATGGAAACAACATATTTTGAAAACTGGTGATTAGTAATAAGTTTTCATTGATGAATAGAACATTCTGTTTGTGATTTTAAAAAGGAAAAAACAAACTATAACCTGAAGCTTCTTTAATTTTTGTGTTTAACATGAAATAATTTTTCAAAGTGTGTAACCTTAATCTTCTTGAAGCCAAATTAATAACCTCCTGGAAGATTAAAGATGCATAACTATGAGCATTTAGTAAGACTGCTAAAGTTTTTTGACCCTTATTAACAATAAATGTATCTGTGGAAGTCAGAGAAATAGTAGCTTCCCTGGAGCAAAACATTTCCAACAATTAGATATCTTTTGTGAGAAACCCAGAGAAAGTATGACTGATTGCTTTCTGGGATTAAACCAAGGGTACTAAACGAGAAACAAATTAGATGCAGATGTTCAGTATATTGAGATTAATTTTATTCTCATGGGTACCATTTCCCTGGCTGCTTGGACTATCAGCAATTTGTTTCCAGAGAAGTGAATATGTGTCAAAATAACTACGCCAATCACCACGGTTCAATAAGATTTTCCCATATATGTATTTTGAAAGTGGATGAATGTTTCTAATAAACAAAATGTCTAGCATTTGTATTAATAATAACTTTCAATATAAGTAACATAATATATATTCATTCATTCAGCCTAGATATGTCAGACACTGTAAGATTCTGGGGGGATTCAAAAATAAATAAAACAACATTCTTGCCTGGAGCTCTAATCTAGCGGGAAAGAGACAAGTAAGCACAAAAGACAGTACAGGATAATGGGGCCCTGATAGAGACATGAATGGAACACTACGGGGATGTGAGCTTTTCCTACTAACCACCTTCAAGAAAGATAACATAATATAGTTTGCTATAAAAAAAAAAGCGCAAAAACATAAAAAACATACCAGAATGGTTGCTCTTCAGGTCAATAATAATAATGACTATTTACATGTTGTGGCGATTGATATTATATAAAACACTTCAGTATTGTAAGGTAGACAGACCAACTTTAATTATCACTGGATATATTTACCCATGATCTTTGCAAACATGTTAAGAGCAGGAATCATGTCTTTCACCTTTTTGTATTCCAAGGCCTAGCACAGTGCCTGTTACACAGTAACAGTTTCAACATGTGGAATGAATGAATGCATGCACATACACATGAGTATTGATGACATAAATGGCACACTTCTGAGTTCACAGATAACAGAATTTAGTGGATAGGCAATATCTGAAAAGAATATTTGATATCTGACACATCAGAGAGGTTCAGTGCTGACAGTCCTTAATTATAGCGGACATATGTGATTCATTTTTCAATAATCTCTCTAGATACTGTCATGACTACATAGTAGGCATTTGGTAACTGCTTACTGAATGAGCAGTTCCACCTTCACAAACCAGTCTCTTGGACCCAACTCCTCCTCTCTGCATAGCTTTCTATATAACTCTGCTCTCTTCTTCCAAAGTAGCTTGAGTTGCCATATTAGTCCCCCTAAAGTACTGTGATGATGTAACTTCAATTGTCGTATTTCCCAAGTCGTTCCCTAGTAGTCAGGACCCTTCATGTTAAAAAACATAATTAAAAAATAAAAGCATGCAAAGTACATAGCACAAAAAAGCCTGGCACGAGCCCACATCGGATACTAAATGGCTGAAAATTAATGAGCTAGGTTGTCCTGAGAAAATTGGTTATTCATATGTTTTAAAATGATAATGGATGGACCCCTACACAAAAGTTATTTGTTATATCATAAAAGACTTGAAAATATAGTATAATTTTAAAACAATGTCTGCTTAGCTCTTTAGTCTCCCAGCTGTTGTTTACTGCTGGGTTTTGAGAGCCTCACCCTATAATAGCACAGTGTAGGAATCTGCTAATAATTTGTGAGGAGTCTATACCCTGGGTCTACACCCAGATTTTTGAGTTCCTTCCCTGCAGTTGCCTTCTCTCCAGGACTTTGCCCTTCAAGACCCAGCCACCGCCAACTCCAAGTGCTATCTGGGTTTCTCAGCCTACAAAGATTACATCTTCCAGCTTGGGTTGTATTCTTTTAAATTCCAATCTGGAAAATGCCTTAAGGAAAAAGTCAGAATAAATGTGGAGTTAATTTCACATGCTTCCCTTCTCTGAATGATCGCAGTTTCTTAGATCTTGCTTATGCTGACTGCTCTCAGTGCCTTCAAACAACGCACTGTATATATTTCATTCAGTTTTGGGAGATGTTTTTGGCAGACGGGTAATTCTAAATTAAGTGGTCATGGTCAGAACTTATGCCTCGTTATGAAAGTTTCTTATGGGCTGCTCATTTTTCTGTGATTTCTCCTTTTATATCTTTAAACATTCCATCAATGGTTATTTTATATTGTGTTTCTAATGATGGCAATATCTAATGTTTTTGATGGAATAAATCTGCTTATCATTTTTGCTCTTACTCATGGTAGATTGCTTCCTCATGTGTTTCACTGTGGATCATGTTTGATCTGTGTTAAGATGAGGGAATCCTAGAAGTTCAAGGTGAAGAAGTTTTCTCTAAAGAGAGTTTGTGATTGTGTCTGCTCAGAGGCAGGGTGTGCTGCAGACCTGGAATGTATGTCATCTACAACTATTCTGCAGAAATTATTTCTGGACCCTGCACCATCTTATTCCTTCCTGATCTATGCAAACTTTGATTCCTTAATACTGGTGGTTTTGCATGAAGCACAAGATCAAACACAATAGCCAGGTTTGACATGCACAGGCAGAGTACTAAAGAATTATTACCAACCTTATCCTGGAAACTCTACCAATGCTAGGATAGCCTAAAGATATATTACTGCTTCTGGCAACACAGAAAAACAAACTGCAGCACAGAGATGGGAAATGCATAATTATCAGATAGCCAGAAGAACATGAAACTTGTTATTTATGAAGTCAGCTATGTAAATTGTGACATGTAAATCATAGTTCTATTTATTCCTTGACATTTAGAAAAATCACAATTAAGAAAATAAAGGCGAAATGAAGAGCGAAAGAAAACAAGGCACTGCGCCCTGTGAAGAGAGGCGCAGCTGAGCTGGTGCGGCTGGGTGCGCACTCTCTTCTTCCATCGCACACCTCCACGAAACCGCACACCTCCACGAAACCGTCTTACTGTGGGTGGGGTCATCCGTTTAGATACTTATTTTTCCCCACAGGACCCGCTGATACTAAGTTAGTCTTCTCCAATCACCATTTTTGAAGCTGAGTTTTAAATCTAAACGAACCACAATTTCAAAAGATCTATCAAATTCTTAATATTGGGGCTATTCCCAGTCTGAAATATTTACTTTATGAAAAGAAGTTAAATGGAGTCACCCTTCCTGAATGAATCATTTTAACAGCTGACAAGCCCAGGTGAAAGGTTATAAGTACCTGAGTAGTAGTTAAAAGTGAGACTGAAAATGAGAGAGATTTTTAAAAAATTACTTAGTGAAAAGCAAATTGAAAAGCAGTAACTTTGGAAATAACCCGACGGACCTAACATATAACTAGCACATCCAGCAGTATATCTTAATGTCAGTCTCTTTTTATGTATTCAACTAATGAAAAGGTATTTTTCTAACCCTTCAATTAATGTGTTATATCTGGTTCACTTTTTAATGGAAATAACTCTAATATTAGTTTCTGCTTGATCTACCTAATTTTTATTGCTTCTTACACAAAAAATAACATAAGCCTAAAATAATAAAAACACCAGGCACTAGAAATACATTTTATAGACCAAAATTTTATGGTGGGAAAATAGTTTTCAGGTACAAAGATCTTTAAATAAATTTGAAACTTCCCATTTTTATTTTTTGAAATCATTTACATAGGCAATATAGTTTTAGATTTTTAAAAAGTTGAAAACATATTCAGAAAATAAATTTCTGTTATGCCCCTTAAGTCCCCCTTATTTTAAGGGAAACTACAGATTTTTATTGCAAAAGTAGTATTCATTAAACAAAGAATTTTAAACAGTGGAAAGTACAAAAATTCCTAATATTCCCAATATTTAACCCCAACCACTATTAACATCTCAGTGGGGTTTTTTGTTTGTTAATTGCTTTTTTCCATGCATAAATTGGTTTGTAATACAGTTCAATCATAAAACTATACATACAATTTTTATTCCTTTTCCCTGACTTAACCTTAGATCATAAAATAAAATCTATTGTTCAAGACACTTGGATTAGTGAAAGTAGCCACTGATGCATATTCGTGCTTTACTATCTGCAGTTTTAAGACTCACTATGGAGAAAACACATGAAACTAAGAGTCATACACTTGTGATTTCTTTATCATCTGTCCATTGCACAGTTCCATGCACCAAGTAATAGCTACCACACAAAACATTTATACTTCAAAGTAATTTTACGTCTCACCTTTTGAGCTGCAAGATGCAGGGCTGTTCTCCGGCTGTGGTCAGTTTTATTAACATCCGCACCCGCCTTCAGGAGGGCATCTGCACAGTCCAGTCTGTCAGCCAACACGCAGTACATAAGTGGTGTTCTCCCAAACTGATCTTCTTTGTCTTTAAGGGCAGCGTTCCCTATGAGTAAAAGAAACAGATGGTGACATTTGATAATTGTTGTTGTTATTACTAATATGATTAGGAACTACATTTACTGAGTGTTTATCAAGCACTGTGGTAAACACATTAAATATAGTACCTCATTTTTACTGACCCTATCAGATAAATATTACCATCCCTGTATTACAGGAAACTGATGCTCAGAGAAGTAAAGGCACTTGTTTATATTACATTGGTGATAGAGATAAAATTCAAAATGACTGTTGACTCTAAAGGCCATATTCTTAACTACTGTGTCACACTAAATTAACATTGTGAGATTTTAATCCCTCACTCCTTTCTTTTTGCCAGCAAATGCTTAGTGCAGGCGATACAGTCGGTGCTGAGGTATGTTTTTGAGAGATACGAAAACGAGTCATGGTTGGCATCGTTTTAGACAATATGGAGCAAGTGTGTACTGCCCTGATCCTCCTGCTATTTACAACTAAACACCCAGGAGAAATATATGAAAAGTGGAGAGAAGAAGAGAGACCGATTATAGAGAACTATGAAACGCTGGGAACAACCTGATGGTGAGTTCCCTGATGGTTTTTGTTTTTGTTTCTTGCCTCCTCTATGTATCCAGTCTGGGTGCTAAAGTATTCCTCCAGAGACACTACTGGGCACAGATGCGAAATTCCCTGAGATGACTATTCTCCCAGTGGAAAGATTGAGAAGAGGGTAGCTGTGCAGGGGTGAACTCTTTTGACTGTACCTGCTCTACTCAAAGCACATACAACAAGAGAAACTGCAATTCCTTTCCTCCTGGCTGAGTATTACAGCGACTATGGGGAGGAGCCCTGTGAACCACTGTGCTCCATGGACACTGTGCCCCAAATTAGCAAATGATGGCAACGAGGTGGTATTTGATTCCTTCCAAACTAGAATGTGGAGGAGTACTGTGGAGAGGAGGAAGCTGAAGAAAGCAATTCTTTAAATAGGCGCATGAAGTTGTGGACAACTCTGAGCAGCTCATGTGTGAAATTAACCAGAATCAAACTGGAAAAACCGTTGAAACTTGAACTCGGGGTGGAACACTGGCCAGTTTCTAAAGTGGCATGGTTAGAACAGCAGTGATGTGAAAAGCCTTGCAAAGCTCAGAAAAAATAAATTGAAATTTGAATCACAGCCCACAAAATTGGAACAAAATGTTCATTCAAACCTAAATAGATTGTCAGTCTACTAAAACAGGAGATTTAAGGAGGATCTAGAGTCTCCTAACATAATATACAAAATATACAAGACATAACCTAAAATTACTAGATAAACCAAGAGCCAGGAAAATATTTACTTCGATAAGAAAAGATAATCAACAGGCACCAACACTGTCAAGATACAGATATTAGAATTATCTGACAAGGATTTTTAAAGCAACTATGATACAAATGATCTGACAAATCTCTATGAACACTACTGAAACAAATGGAAAAACAAAGTCTCAGCAAAGAAAAAAATATAAAAGATGAACCAAATGAAAATTTTAGAATGGTAAATATTTAATAAGTAAGTAAATAACCAAATAAAAAAAGTAAAAACTTTATCGAACAGGATCAATAGAATAGAAATGACAGAGAAAAAAATCACTGAACTTGTTATAGACCAACAGACATTATTCAATCTGAACAATTGATAGAAAAGATAGAAACAGAAGGAATCAACAGAGTCTCAGGTTTCTGTGGGACAAGAACAAAGTATCTACCATTCATATCATCACAGAAAAAGAGGAACAAGAAGTAAGGGCTGAAAACATATTTGAAGGAATAACGGCTGGAAATGGCCCATATTTGGTGAAACACACAAACCTAAAGATCTAAGAAACTGAGAAAAGTTCAAAAAAAATAAACCTAAAGGAATCTATGATGACTCAGTTGTAATCAATTCTGAAAACTAAAGATAAAGGAAAAAATCATGAAAGCAGCTGGAGAGAAACAACACATTACCTATAGGAGAGCAACAATTCAAATGACAGTATGTTTCCCACGAGCATCTACAGAACCAGAAAACCATGACACAATTATTTTTCAAGTGGGGGGGGGGCAGGGGGAGAGGAAAGAGCTGTCAACCCAGAATTCTATATCCAGTGCTTGCCTAGGGTTGAGGTTGGGGGTGGGGGTTGAGGGGTCATAGCTAATGGATGTAGGGTTTCTTTTGGAGGAAATAAAATTGTTCTAAAATCAACTGTGGTGATGTTTGTGCAAGTCTGTGAATATACAAAAACCATTGAAAAATACACCTTAAATTGGTTAATTATATGGGATGTATGTATGGTGAATTTCAATAAAGCTGTTACAAAAAACCCTACTACATATAAAGTAAGACAGAATACTACAACATTCAAGAAATGCAGAGGAAGAACAAAAAGAGAAACAAGAAAAGTAAACAGAGGGAACAAACAGTAAACACATAATAAATTAGAAAATTTAAATCCTAACATTAATAATTACATTAAAGGTAAATGGTATGAACACAATAATAAAAAAAGAGATAGGTTTAAAAATGAGGACCTAACTGCCCTGGCCAGGTGTGGTTCAGTCAGTTGGAGTGGTATCCCCATACATCAAAAGACTGCAGGTTTGATTCCCAGTGAGGGCACTACCTAGGTTGCAGGTTTGATCCCGAGTCAGGGGCGTGTACAAAAGGCAACCAAACTACATTTCTCTCTCACATTGATGTCTCTTTCTCCATGTCCCCACTCCCCTTCTTCTCTCTCTAAAATCAATAAACATATCCTCAGGTGAGGATTAAAAAAAACAACAAGGACCAAGTTACATGTTATTTATAAGCAACTCACCTGAAATATAATGATATAAGTAGGTTAAAAGCAAAAGATTAAGCAAATATATTATGTAAACAAACACTAATCAAAAGAAAGCTGGAGTGATTATGCTAATATCTGATAAAGTAGACCAGAGAAGAGACAATCAGCAGAGACAGATAAAAACATTATAGAATGATAAAAGGGTCAATTCATCAAGAATACATAACAATCCTAATGTGTGTGTGCTAAACTACAGCCTGCAAAATATAGGCAGCAAAAACTGATAGAATTGAAAGAAAACTTGAAAAGCTCATAATTAGAGTTGGTAACTTCAATGCCCCTCTCTTAATAATTGCTTGAAACACTGAATGAAAATCAGCAAGGATAAAGAACTGAACACTACCACAAAGCAGCAGAATATAACTGATATTTACTGAACATGTCACCCAATGATAGCCAGACAGACAGTCTTTCAAAACACCCATGGAATATTCTCCAAAAGAGACCATATATTAGGTCATAAAATAAACATTAACAGATTTAAAGAGATGAAATCATACAAAGTATGTTCTCTGACAATAATGTAATTAAACTAGAAATCAATAACAGAATGATAGTGAGAAATCAGTGAATATTTGGGAATTAACACATAGATAATCCATGGGTTAAAGATAAAATCTCAAGGGAAATTAAAAAAAAATTGAATAATGGGAAATAAAAATACGGTTGTAAGGTTCCTGCCCTACACAAGTGGAGACCTTAGAAGGTAATACACAGCATTGAATACTTGTATTAGAATATCAATACAAGTATCAATGTCCTATGCCTCTACCTTGATACACACACACACACACACACACACACACACACACACACACACACACAAATTTAACCCAAAGAAGCAGAGGAAGTACATAATAAGAGCAGAGATCAATGAGACTTCTGGCCAAGATGGAGGCGTAGGTAGACACATTTGTGACTCCTTGAACAACCAAAATAAGGACAACAAAAATTGAGAAACAAAAAACAACCAGTACTGACAGAAAGTTGAACTGTATGGAAGCCCGACAACCAAGGAGTTAAAGAAGAAACATTCATCCAGACTGATAGGAGGGGTGTGGTCGGAAGGCCGGGTGGAGAGGACTTGCAGCAAGGCAGCAGATTGTGGAGGGGCTTGGCGCACAAGGTGGCTGGCAGGCCAGGAGGTCCCACATTTGTGCAGAGATAAACCAGGAGCGAAACTCCTGGTTTACAGGAGTGAAACCAGGAGTGAAACTGGGAGCAAGATGGACTGTGCAACCCAGGGCTCCAGCGTGGGGAAATAAAGCCTCAAAACACTGATTGAAAACACCTGTGGGGGTTGAGGTGCCAGGAGAGACTCCCAGCCTCACAGGGGAGTTTGTTGGAGAGACCCACAGGGTCCTAGAATGTACATAAGCCCACCCCTCGGGAATCAGCAACAGAAAGGCCCAGTTTGCTTGCGGGGAAGCAGCGGAAGGGGCTAAAATCTGGCAGAGAGCGGAGCAAGCGCCATTGTTCCCTCTCAGACCCCTCCCCCACATACTGCATCACAACCCAGCGACTGGGTTGCCCCGCCCTGGAGAATACCTAAGGCTCCTCCCCTCTGCCTGATACATAACAGGCACATTAAGACAAAAAAAAAAAAGGTCCAAATGAAAGAACAGAGTAAAGCTCCACAAATAATACAACTAAACGACGGACAGATAGCCAACCTATCAAATGCACAGTTCAAAGCACTGGTGATCAGGATGCTCACAGAATTGGTTGAATTTGGTTGCAAATTAGATGAACAAATGAAGGCTATGCTAAGTGAAATAAAGGACAATGTACAGGGAACCAATAGTGATGGGAAGGAAGCTGGGACTCTAATCAACAATGTGGACCAGAAGGAAGAAAGAAAAAAACAAACAGAAAAGAAGAAACAAAAATTCAAAAAATGAGAGGCTTAGGAACCTCCAGGACACCTTTAAACATTCCAACATCTGAATTATAGGGGTACCAGAAGGAGAAGAGGAAGAACAAGTGGAAAACTTATTTGAACAAATAATAAAGGAGAACTTCCCCATTCTGGCAAAGGAAATAGACTTCTAGGAAGTCCAGGAAACTCAGAGAGTCCCAAAGAAGTTGGACCCAAGGAGGAACACACCAAGGCACATCATAATTA